TCATAATACAGCAAATAAAACACAGGTGTTATTATACCTACTATCAACATTATCACTACAGCTGTCCACCACCCTATTCCCCAGTCTGCTCCATAATAGGGATCCTTACGTTGAATGTTCTTGCTATCAGATTCAAAACGTATTTGTTGTGTTGCTAAGGCAGACACTACCTCATTGAGGTTCTCTCTCTTGGTGTCTGTACACTTTGCTATTTGTTCTATGTCTCGGTCTACTTCTTTTAAAAAGCTACCAGCGGACTCACTGGAAGAAAGAGAATCATTAGCTGGTAGAATTTCCTGTTGTTCTGGAGCATACTGAACAGATGAAGGACGTGATGCTTGTCTTCCTTTTGGAGGATGAAGTGTTTCAGTCAATGAACTAAACTTTTTCACTGGAATTTTGATAGACCTGAGGGCAAAAAAGTCTTGATCACTGATGAGATTGTTAGCTCTCTTGATATCTGCTACCTGTTTTAAAAAAAATGAAAAAAATGCAACATTCAACTTAATTCTAAATCAAAACAGAGTTAGCAATAGTAATTTATCCCAGTTACTTTTAGAGGAAAAAAAAGTTGAGCTTAATAATTAGTAGTATTAAATTACCACACCCAGAGAGATTTGAATTTTATTTGTAGATGAGAATTCTACACCATTTTTGATCCACCAGTCTTAGGAAATCACCAACTACTTTTTACTGTCACCCATATATTGGTAACACTAATTAATGCTAGCTATTTAAATAGAGTCTAGGAACCTTTGCTATTTTCCTTTGTGCATCATGCACAAATACCACAGTTCTGCTTCTTGTAAATAATTTGTGAAAAATGATCACAGATACTCATATTCTTTATTCCAACTGGCAAAGAGTACAGGCAAATGTTAACTAACCCAACTAAAACTACCATATTTTATCAAAACTAAGATGCCAGCAACTCTAAGATGCACAATTATTTTATGTATCTCTAAGAGGGGAAAAAACTCTGCCAAATATATTGAAGATGTCACCAATCCAATTTCAAAGATGTTAAATATGTGGAAAAAATGTGGTCATTTGTCCCTTGCACTTACCTCCTGAAGCCATTTTTCCCCAAACTTCTCAGTGTAAATGCATTAATAAACTACCTCCAATATCAGTCATTTTTATAAGTTTTCCCTATATATAGTATATAGTCCTCAACCTGTCTGTATATCCTATGCCACTGTGATGAGGGAGAAGAGTGGAGTGTTCCTCAGATTATCAATTAGTATGCCATGCTCTCCTACCACCTTTAATTTATTAGTGCCATTCATCATTTCCATCAATGCTTTAATCTAAGCCCTAATCATGTATCTCCTGATTGATGTCAGGTAAAGTGAGTCTAGGATGAAACTTAGATTTCTGGTTTGGTCAACTTGATGGATGATAATGTCATTCACTGAGATATGGAACACTGGAGGATGAGAAGAGGATGAATGCAGATTTTAGACACACTGGTTCTGAGGTACTTATAAACAAGTGAAAGATGTTCAGTGGGCGGTTGTAAATATACGTCTGAAACTCAGAATAATAATCTTGGCTATAGATATAGGTTTGTGGATTATCAGCAAAAATTGTAATTGAAGTCACAGAGTAGAGAGATTCACTAGAAAAAGACTGGAAAAAAAAGGTGACAGGAAAGATCCATGAGGAATGCCAACCTTTGAGTGGTCTGCTAAGAGAAATCCACAAAGGAAATTAAAGTGTGGCCTAGAAGGCAACATATCATGGTGGTTAAAAGCATGGATATCTGAGTTTGAAGCATGGCTCTGACACTTTCTAAATGTAAGATTTGGGGCAAGATGTTTAATCTCTCTGCCATTCAGTTTCCACACCTGTAAAATGGCAATACCTACCCTTACAGGGTTAATGTGAATATTAATGAATTAGAATGTATGCAAAACACTTAGAACAGTGATATACAGTATTTATATAAATAACAGCTGTTATTAAATATTAATAGTAGGAAAATCAGAAACCTGCATAGTCAAGGAGGTCAAGCAAAGAAGAGTTTTTAGGAGGGAGTAGTTAAGAGACTTAATTGTAGATTAGTGATCAATTATGACAAAGACTGCAAGAGGTCATATTGGAAAAGTTTCTTTGGAGTGTTCTTGTTGGGGGGCAGTAGGAGGTGAGGACTGAAAAATAACTAGGAGATGAGACAGTACAGATAAAGGTGCTTTGTCATTTTACTACCTCGAGATTACTTTGTCTTAAAGCACATAAAGATTCAATGACAAACTCCAAAGCCGACCCTATTCTCTTTAAATGCTTTTTTCTTGTTATTATATTCATATACTCTTACTAATAACTAGTCAATACTCTTTTTGAACTAGGCTTTCAAGGCCTACTTAGGTTATCTACTTAGGTTATCTCTCTGAATATCTCTATAATGTTTCCTCTGTTATGCTAACTTCCTTAGTTGCATTTAGGATTCTAACCTTGGACTTTTTATTCCTCTCATCACTGTTTGATAACACACACACACGTATGTGTGTATGTATATTTTTGCAGCTAGCCAGTATGGGGATACAAACCCCTGACCTTGGTGTTACTATTTGATAACACACACACACACGTATGTGTGTATGTATATTTTTTTTTTGTTTGTTTGTTTTGTTTTGGTGTATGTATATTTTTGCAGCTAGCCAGTATGGGGATACAAACCCCTGACCTTGGTGTTACATAATACCACACTGTAACCAACTGAACTAACTGGCCCACATAACACACATATTTTTAATAATTCTTAATACTATTTATAAGTGGAATACAGCACTACTTACTATATTTTTTAAATGATGATAAACCCTTTTGTACAGCTAATTTTTTTGTTGTTGTTGTTGGTGAGCTCCCATTAAAAAGGAGCACTGCTTACTTTAACTCCCTAATGCTGTCATATCAACTTCTCACTACTGTGGCCAATGCCATCTCTCCACTAATATTAAGCTAATCACTTTTCATCATTCTTCATTTCAAATAAGCAATCCACTGATATATCTTGTGATTTCCCCCAACTACACTTTCTATCATCTTCTTTATCCTTATCACAAATATTTTAGTCTAAGCCCTCATCATCTTCATTTGCATTATTCCAAATAATCTCTTTATAGGATACCTTCCAATTCACCAGCAGGCTCCTCCACCATTTTGTATCACTCCTGTTAAGACCTTACAATAACGCTGGTCTCTTAGTTTATGAATCAAACTTCTCCTCAGTTATCTCAAAGTGCTTCATCTCAATCAGTCTGTGCCACTCATTTCTGAAACACCTGTTAAAAGTCCCTCTGTTGTTCACCTTATTTCCTCCTTGAAATATTCTCTACACCACTGTCATATACCCGAAATAGTTTCTCCTACTTACTTCATTAGAAGTATGAGGGTACTTCAAAAAGTTCGTAGAAAAACAGAATTAAAAGAATACGAATCCTTCTATGATCTTTCTGAAGTACCCTCATATGACCTACTTTTAATCACTCCGATGGCATTTCAAATTTCCCTTCATGAGTTTACATGAAAACATATCCACTAAGGACCCAAGACGGATATAATGACACAGATATAAAATGAGTTCAAACAGTTTACTGTTAAAATTTAAAATATACCTCTCCTTTTATTTAGCAATCCCACTTTTGGGGATCTATTCCACAGAAATAAAGGTATCACCATTTAGATATGAGGGTACTTCAAAAAGCTTCTGGAAAGATTTGTATTATCTTTTAATTCTATTTTTCCATGAATTTTGAAGTACCCTTGTATAGTTGTGATGATATTCACTGCACAACATAAAACATCAAGAAAATCCTGACTATCCATGAATAGAGAAATAGCTTAATAATATTGGTACATCCAAGTTATGAACATTATATAGCTATTTATAATAATGAGTTAGAGCTATAAGGCTATGACAGATGTCCATGATAAACGAAATGAAAAATGGAAGTTGCAAGGTAAATGCATAGTATAAACCAATTTTAAAAACACAAAAATCACCAACTCCCCAAATATAACTACAAATAAATATTTGTGAGCACAAAAAGAGGTATAGGAAGAAACACATCAAAATGTTAACACTTTCTCTCAGGAAACTGAGGCAGGGAAAAGCTTTTCCTTACATATTTCTACATTCTCTTACCACCTGAATAAGAAGATAACATATTTGGGTGTTTTTCAATACTGAATCCAATCATGGATTCAGAAATAAACAGAAATTCAAGTATTCACTTAAAGTTTTAAAAAGTTAACATCCACCGATATAATAGATTTCTATGCAAAGAAGAAAAAAAGCAAAAAAGGGAAGAAAGGAAGTAACAAGATAAAAAGGCATGGAATTTATTTCAATTTTGGCTGGGCTAAAGAACAAATAATTTATTCTGGACAGCACTGTGTAAAATTAAATTAAAACTTACCGTACAACAATACTGAAGGGCTACTGCATTTAAAGTATCTCCTTCCTGTATATCTTTTGTTAATACTATAATGTCATCAAGTCTATCTCTTGATGTACTTCTTCGGACTTTCTCTTTTCCTCTGGATCGAAGCTCATACACTTCAGCATCCTCCTCCAACATATCACTGTCTGTACAATTTCCAAATGCATGTACTTGACCACTTGACTGAACTCCCGGAAGGGGAAAACTACGATTCTGATGCCTCCCTGCCATAATGTTAAAATCTGTCCCGTTAGCAGGTGGGACGTAGCGAGGACACAGCTACCGCGTCCACCGCTGCCGCTGCTGTCCCGGGCAAGCTCATGGCAAAACCTGCAGTTTGAGTTGTCCGTGCCCACCGCCGCGGTCGCCGCCACCCCAACGTCTCCGCCTTCTGGGCCGTGCGCCGCCGCCACGTCCGCAAACCTGCGGTGCGTCATCGCGTCAAGTGGGCTGCTGAAGCATTTTTATCATGAAAGGGCATTGGATTTTGTCAAGTACTTTTTCTCTCTTTATTGAGACAACCACGTGTGTTTTCTCCTGTATTCTGTTAACATAGTGTTTTATATAAGTTGATTTTTGAGATCAGACGCAATCACGCGTGTTTTGGCTGATATGGCCGTAGACTATAAGTTGATTTTTGAATGTTAAACCTACCTTGCATTTCTGCAATTAATTCCACTTGGTCATTGTGTATAATCATTTTTATATATCGCTGGATTTCACTGAGGATTTTTTATATACTTAAGGGATATTGATCAGTGCTTTGTTTTGTTTCTCTTGTCATGTCTTTGTCTGATTTTGGTGTCAGGGTACTGTTTTCCTCTTAGAATGACATTGAGAAGTGTTCCCTCTTCTACTTTCTGGGAGAGTTTGTGAAGAATTAGTATTAATTATGCTTTGAAAGTTTAGTAGATTTCCAGTGAAGCCATCTACACCTGGACATTTTTTGTGGGAAATTTTTAAGTTACTGATTCAATTTCTTTACTTGTAATAGGCCTATTTAAATGTTCTATTTCTTTTTTTGTTCATTTTGGTTATTTGTTCATTTCATCTGTTACCTTATTTGTTGGCATAGTTATTCATACTTTTTCTTTGAAATTCTTTTTTATTTCTGTTAGGTCAGTTGTGATGTCCTCTATCATTTCTGGTTTTGATAATTTGAGCCTTTGTGTGCGCTCTTGCTCTCTCTCTCTCTCTCTTTTTTTTACTTGAGCAGTCTAGCTAAAGCAGTCTAGTCTAGTTTGACAATTTTGTTGACTTTTTTTTGCAGTGAGTCAGTCTTATCTCAGTTTTAGTTTCATTGATACTTTTTTTCCCAATTGTTTTTCTGTTTTCTATTCTATTTATTTCTATTCTAATCTTTATTATTATTTCCTCCATTTTGTTTGCTGTAATTTTAGTTTGCTCTTTTTATTTTTGTTCTTCTACTTTCTTAAGGTGGAAGTTAAGGTTATTGATTTGAGATCCTTCTTCTTTTCATGCCACTTACTGGTTAAAGGTTGTGCTTAAGTTCTCTTAGCCAGTTAGATTTTTACTCTTCACTGTTGGATGTGAGTGTGGCTTGGAGGCTGCTATTATAGTTCAGGAAGTTCACATTTTTTTCACCACACGTTCAACCAGGGACTGGTTAGTAGCTTAGAGTTTCCCCTCTGATTGCTTCCGAGAGAGCATAGCCTTGTGCATTCACAGTCTCCCAGACTGCCAAAGATGAGTGTGATTTTACTTTTAAGTCTGGCTTCTTGGGAATTGATCTTGGAGTAGAGTAGCTTATTGTTCAGTCAGTGTTTTGTCAGGGGTTGTATGTAAGCTCCTTGTGCCAGTAATACTTCTGTACTATGTGGATGTGTCTTTATGCAACTTGGGAAATGCTTTCAAGTGTGTTCCACAGCCTGCTCAGATTCTCCCTGAGAAGGTACACCCTAAGCACCCATGCACAACCTTACTGATCTCCAGAGCTGACTGTGAGCCCAAGTCAGCTTTCTGGCTATTTCTTTGGTTCTCTCTATTACACTTCTGGTTGCTGTGCCTTTTTGGTTTTATCATGGACATACCAGCCTCCTTAATTCTCTCCATTGTTTTAGAAAATGCCCATGGGCATGGAATCCTCCTATCTTGCAAGTACAGTCAGTCTCCTTAGCAGAGCTTATGGCCAGCCTTTCTTTCTGTACAGAACCCCTGTTCCATTGCACTAGGACTGGGGTTGAGGACCCACTTTTCCAAGAGTGACACTCCCTCTTTATGAGTTGGCACTGGTGGAGGGGCAGTGGCAGGCCCTGGTCTTTACAACTCACCCCTCCTGGCATGGGAGCTCTGCTCTATGTGTGAGTTGAAGATGACACTATTAGGGCCCCAGCCTGCCATGCCTGGAGTATAGCATGTGTCTTACTAGTGGGGACTGACTGGAGGAGGGGAGACACAGTACTCCATGACAACACAGTCAAGTTGTGCAGCTTGGGACTGGGTGAGCTGAAAAATGCCACTGACCACCTGTCCCTCCTGGGGTGATGTCATAGACCCAGAATGGGAGCTGAGGGATGAGGGTGCTACCCGTCTTCTTGGCCTCACCTGTCTGAAGCAGAGTACCTTGGCAGAAGCTTCCCCAGTGTGTAGGTAGAGTGGTGGGGTAAGGGAGCAAGTCTTTGCTCAAATGTCACTACTTTCACTGTTCTTACCAAGATTTAGTAGGTCTTCTTAATGGTTTCTTCATTCCTGTATGCCCTTAGAACAACTTCCATATACTTTATGTGATTGTTTTATAGTCATATTACCAGTTAAATTTATGTTTTGCTAGGAGAAAGTCTCCTGAGATGTTTACTCTTCAGTTCCAAAGTCCCATTCCTCCCCCACCCCATACCCTATTATTTTCTATACTTTGTTCATTTACTGCTTAGGGAAATTGTTATGCTGGGTAGAAATGCTGAATAAAATACAGGCTTCTGACTATAGTGGGAGCATACTGAGATGTAGTGGGTTAGACTAAGAAGTCATGATTGAGTATATGCTGATGGTTTTCTGTCTTGATTACGAACCTCAAAAGTAAAATTTAAGCAAGCACAATAAATTAGTCCACTGTACTAATACATTATAAAGCATACACCAAAAGAAATAATTAAAAACACCAAATAAATATAATGTCCTATTTATGAATAACTTTTATCAGATTTAATTTCTTAGATATTCTTTTGATTAACTTTAGAGATTATTATATAGTGTCTTAAATTGTGAGTAAAAATATTAACTTTCCTTTTTAAATCGTATGACTAATAAGGTACTTCTAATGCATTTTAGGCATTTTTCTCATTTAATCATTATAACAGTGACACAAAGTAGATGACAGTATTATTTTGTAAGTTTTATCACTGAGAAAGTCAGAGTCTAGTGGGATTAAAGCTCAGTGTTACATAGTAACTACTCGAGCCAACTTCAAATATAGATTCTTCAACTGTAAAGTCTGCGTTCTTTCCAAGTACCCATTCTCTCAGTTCTTAAAGGTCACTTTATTTTAGTTTACTGGCACTGTATAAAGTGTTTAGATACAAGGCAATTAGGGTCCCTGTCTAAATGAGTTTGTAGTTGATGAGAAAGACCAAAAAAGAAATACACTGCAGAATGATACATGATGTAATAATTATTTGTACTATGAACAGTAGTATGGAAGAAAATGATAAACTATCCATATGAGCCAACAAAGGAATTACATAGAAGAGATGATGTTTGTTGATGGTTTAGGAGGCCAAATAGGAACTGTTTAGTGTAGAACAGGTGTGTGCCAAGTTAGAACAACAGAATGTTTTAAAGGCTTGGTTATGTTTAACAGCATAGTGTGTGTAGAGGAAATACAAGTACAGTAGTCTGAAATTGCTGGTGTATTAAGTATGGGGTTGTGGGGATGGTAGTGGGAGATGAGACAGGGAAGTAGAAGTGGGTTCGTAAATGATTATTTAGGTCAAAGTCAGCCTCCTTGTATGAAAAGCATTTTGTTGTTGTTATTACTTTTTAATTAAATGAAATCCCAAGTTATAGAAATACCATGATCAAGTTTACAATATGCCGTTCCTCTGCCTTTCTGTTTTCCTCTCTCACCATCTTCTTTACTGTGTGAAAATCATGGACAGCAGGGAATTTTATTCACTGAAATAAAGTGATTACCTATGTAAGCTCAATTTTTGTATCTTCCTTAAAATCTTATGTTGGTTTCTATTAAAGTGGTGTATTGATTATCTGAATGAAACTTTTACTGATGAAATGCTAACATTTTCAGTGGAGTGTGGTCTAGGGAATGAATATATATTGGTAATGCAAAACTCTTGAGTTTGATGAATTATCAAGACCTCCTCATGAAGTACAAATGTTACTGATGGCAAATGAGATGGTAACTATCATCTCCTTGGAAACGTTAATCTAGCAGTTTCTTTGAATATCAGTTTGCCACCTTTATTTTTATGTTATTTTAGTTTCACTAAAGAAGAACATCCATATTATAAAAGAATTGAAATAACACAGAAGGGGAACAGTTTAAAGTACAGTCTTCTTTACCCTAATCCCTAAATCTCCTAATCCCACTCTCTATAGAGGTAAATTTATTGTATGCATGTATGAGCACATATATGTTAAAGTAATAACATTGTTTTAGAACACATTCCCCCTGTTTCCCAAAAGTTTAATAATAGGTCTTTTATGTCTATATCCATAGACCCTGGGCCCAGTTTTCCCTGTTAACATATTAGTATGAACCAGTATTTTTTTTTTTTTTTCGTGTCCGGCAACGGACCGCAACCCTCAGTGTCGCGCCCGTACCGGACCGGGACTGGCAACGGGATCGGCAACAGGATCGCAACCCTCGGTGCTGCGCCCGCCCCTCGCTCAGCCAGTGAGCGGGAACCAGTCTGTATGTGGGATCCGAACCCTTGGCGGGAGCGCCACCGTGCTCCCAAGCGGCGCACTGTAGCAGTGCGCCACCGGGCCGGCCCAGTATGAACCAATATTAATACACTATTATTAACGGAAGTCCATAGTTTATTCAGATTTCCTTAGTTTTTACGTAATGATTTCTTTTTTTGTTTTATAATCTCATTCAGGATGCCACATTACATTTACAAAGATTAAGTATAGAAAGGAATACCACATTTAGGATACCACATTACATTTAGTTATTTGTCTCCTTAGGCTCCTCTTGGCTGTGGCAGTTTCTCAGACTTCCCTTGTTTTTGATGATCATGACAGTTTGGGGGAGTACTGGTCAGATATTTTGAAGGATGCCTCACTATTGGAATTTGTCTGATGTTTTTTTCATGATAAAACTGGGGTTATAGGTTATTGGGGAAAAGACGACAGAGGTAAACTGCCATTTTCATTACATCATATCAAGGTTCCATACTATCAATATGATTTATGATTGC